AAGAAGAGAGATATACACAAACTCACTCAGTGTGAAACAGTCTTGGTTATTTGACCGAGATATTAAAACCATTAATGAACAATAATGAAGCTGAGAATCAAGCTCACAGACAGTAAGAGTAGAGACAGTAGAGACAGTAGAGACAGTAGAGACACGTAGAGACAAATAGATACAGAGTAGAGACAAGTAAGACCAGTAGAGACAGAGTAGAGACAGATAGAGACAGAGTAGCAGACTAGATAGAGACAGATAGATACAGAGTAGAGACATGAGTTAGAGACAGAGTAGAGACAGATAGAGAACAGAGTAGAGACAAGAGTAGAGACAGAGTAGAGACAGAGTAGAGACAGAGTAGAGACAGATAGAGACAGAGTAGAGACAGAGTAGAGACAGAGTAGAGACAGAGTAGAGACAGATAGATGACAGATGTAGAGACAGAGTAGAGACAGAGTAGAGACAGATAGAGCAGAGTAGAGACAGATAGAGACAGAGTAGAAGACAGAGTAGAGACAGATTAGAGACAGAGTAGAAGACATAGAAGGGTAGAGACAGATAGAACAGAGTAGAGCAGTAGAGACAGAGAGATAAGAGAGAACAGATAGAGACAGAGTAGAGACAGATGGACAGGTAAGAGACAGAGTAGAGACGATAGACGACAGATAGAGACAGAGTAGAGACAGAGTAGAGACAGAGTAGAGACACAGTAGAGACACAGTAGAGACAGATAGAGACAGAGTAGAGACAGATAGAGACAGAGTAGAGACAGAGTAGAGACAGAGTAGAGAACAGAGTAGAGACAGTAGAGACAGTAAGAATGACGGATAGAGACAGTAGAGTCCTCTCTCACTCAGCTGTTTATATTTTCCTGCTGCAGATTCCTGAAGACCGAGCTGAGGCTGTGACGCTTGTACCTGGCACCAGTGAGTTCACCTGTGTGTGTGTGTGTGTGTGTGTGTTGTGTGTGTGTGTGGTGTGTGTGTGTGTGTGTGTGTGTGTGGGGTTAAGGTCGGGGAAGCAGACAGACCTGATCTCCAGTTAGACTCAGCTGTGACACCTGACCAGGTGTGTAGGAGGCAGGTGACACACAGTGATATTGGAGTAAACAGCTGACCTTTTGACCTTTTGACCTTTCACCCCTGAGAAACCTGAAGACTGTAAAAAACAAAAACCATGAGGTTATTGAACAGTGTCAGTGTTTGTGTTCACCTGAGTTCATGACTCATAAGCCACGCCCACCTCTCCTGTCTCCTAGTTACTATGTGAACGGGAGGACACTCCCTGGACGACTTCCTGGATCCAGAGGTTCTGGACCTCGCTGGCCTTGAAGACCAAGGAAGTTGATGGAGGTTGTGTGTGTGTGTGTGTGTGTGTGTGTGTGTGTGTGTGTGTGTGTGTGTGTGTGTGTGTGTGTGTGTGGTGTGTGTGTGTGTGATCCAGATGTTGAGTCTCTGTTTTCCCTCCTGCTCCAGAAGGTGCAGCTGGTGTCTCCGGGGAAGACGGTCTGGCTGGGAGAGACCAGCTCGGCGTACGGGGGAGGAGCTGTGGACTGTCGGACACCTTCGTCGCAGGATTCATGTGAGTCGAACCACTAGACCAGTCCAGACCACGAGACCAGTCCAGACCACGAGACCAGCCAAGACCGCACAGACCAGTCAGACCGAGAGCCAGCCATAGACCATGACCAGTCAGACCACGAGACTAGTCCAGAACACTAAGACCAGTCCAGACCAGTCTCTGGACTCTCAAGACCTTTTCCTGACATTTTGTCCTTGACTTATATATGTATATATATACACATATACATAGATATACAGTGTATATCTATGTATATATTTAAGATAAACACAAGAAACTTGTGCTACAGAAAATGGAGCAGACTCAGTGAATAGCTCCCTAAGCTTAACAACGTCCTATGATAAGTATTAATTCAGCTACACAGACTAATGAGCAGTGATAACTAAACATGTCTTTGGGGTCATCAGGTGGGAACCTCCTTTCACCTGTGTTTCATCTAGTTGGTCCGCCACGACACCTCCAGGAGGCGAGACAGTGATGCACTGGCGTCCCAGAGGTCACTCCCCTAATATATATATATATATAATATTAGTATATATTATATATATATATATATATATATATATCTCAGTATATACATATATCCAGTCAGACAGAAATATGAGCTGCTTTAAAGACTGTAAACATTGACAACACCTGAAGGTCAACTTCACACAGTTACAGCTCCTCCCCTCCTCCCCCTCCTGCTTCCTCCCCCTCCTGCTTCCTCCCCTCCTCCTCCTGCTCCCTGCCCCCCCCCCTCCTGCTCCTGCTCCCCCCCCTCCTCTCCTCCCTGCCTCCCCTCCTCTCCCCCTCCTGCTCCTCCCCTCCTCCTCCCGCTCCTGCCCCCCCCTCCTGCTACCTCTCCCTCCTGCTCCTCCTCCCCTCCTCCTCCTCCTGCTCCTCCCTCTGCTCCTCCCCTCTCCCCTCCTTGTGATCGATCACAATGATCAGAGAGGGAATAACCAATCAGAGTATAGATCGACCCTCCACCTGCCATGTTGTCACAATTTAAAATCTGTGAGAATAAATCAGTTAATATGTTTATAGAGAATAAAATAATAATCGTGATGAAAACAACAGGAAACTGTGTGAGACCTTCAGCTGCTGCTGGAGACGTGAACATCTCATTACATGATCACATTACCTCATGTGTTTCCTGATTACCCATCAGCCCCAGGTCTCATGACTTACCTTAAAACGCTCCCGCTGCTTGTTTACAGTGTGTGTGTGTGTGTGTGTGTGTGTGTGTGTGTGTGTGTGTGTGTGTGTGTGTGTGTGTGTTTGGTTGGTGTTGTTGTGTGTGGTGTCGTGGTGGTGTGTGTGTGACAAGCAGCGGGAGCGTTTTAAGGTAAGTCATGAGACCTGGGGCTGATGGGTAATCAGGAAACACATGAGGTAATGTGATCATGTTAATGAGATGTTCACGTCTCCAGCAGCAGCTGAAGGTCTCACACAGTTTCCTGTTGTTTCATCACGATTTATTATTTTATTCTCTATAAACATA